TAAAATAATATATTTCAAGTAATCTCAGAGATTGAAATTTAACTGATTCCAACGTTCCGTCCACCTAACTTGTCTGGACTTCTTCAGGGTGATAGTCAAAGAAATATATAGCGTTTAACAATCAAATCAGGTCAAGTCTATACTGTGCTAATACATTCATATACAGAGCTAAAAACTATTAAATTCAATTATAATATCGATACCATCCATATAGAAGAGGATGAAACGATGACAAGTTTTGATGTACCTTCCTTATTTATTAATGCACCTATCAACAGAGCATTGGATATTATTTATGATTGTTTAGAATTTAACTCAGATTTGAATTTACGATGTCCATCAGATCCATCCGAAGCTATTAAGTGCTTGGAATTGTGTTTACAATCCACATTATTCACATTTCGAGGAGACCTGAACAGAAAAAAAGAACGTATAACAATGGATTCACCAGTTTCTCCGATTGTAGTGAATTTATTCATGCATACCCTACAAATCAATGCGATCACAAGATGTGCACATCTACCAAAAGTTTGGTTACGGCATGTAGAGAAAATTTTTACTATCATTAAACGAAATGGTTTGGGAGAATTGCTTGATGTAAACAGCATTTCAGAGAGCATCAAGCTAACACAGGAAATAGAGTCCAGTGACCACAAACTAGCGTTTCTCGATTGTTTGATTGAACGAAGACATAATAATAAATTGAAAATAAGTTCATTCAGGAAATCAACACATTCTGAAAGATAATTAGATTGTGGTTCGTCTTCAACAGAGTGTTGCTGAACCGGATGAAGGATGCAGTAGACGCCCAACTTCGAGATCAACAAGCTGGATTCCGTAAGGATCGGTCGTGCACAGACCAAATTGCAACACTACGGATCATCGTCGAACAATCAGTTGAGTGGAACTCATCACTATACATCAACTTCATTGATTATGAAAAGGCATTCGACAGTGTAGATAGGAGGACATTATGGAAACTTCTTCGACACTACGGAGTTCCTGAGAAGATTGTCAATATTATCCGGAACTCATACGACGGACTACAGTGCAAAGTAGTGCATGGAGGACAGCTGACAGATGCATTCCAAGTAAGGACTGGAGTCAGACAAGGCTGTTTACTCTCTCCCTTCCTCTTTCTTCTGGTGGTCGACTGGATTATGAAGACCTCGACATCTGAAGGAAAACACGGAATACAATGGACAACTCAGAATCAATTAGACGATTTGGACTTCGCAGACGACCTAGCCCTCCTATCACGTACACACGAACAGATGCAGATGAAGACAGCCAGTGTAGCAGCAGTCTCTGCATCAGTAGGCCTCAGCATACACAAAGGGAAAACCAAGGTCCTCAAATTCAAGCGGAGAACAGCAATCCAATCACTCTTGATGGCGAAACTCTGGAAGATGTAGAGTCCTTCACATACCTGGGAAGCATCATCGATGAACAAGGAGGTTCAGATGCAGACGTAAAGGCGAGGATCGGCAAAGCAAGAGTCGCATTCCTACAATTGAAGAACATATGGAACTCAAAACAACTTTCAACCAATATCAAAGTGAGAATCTTCAATACGAACGTCAAGGCAGTTCTACTGTATGGAGCTGAAACTTGGAGAACTACAACAACCACAATCAAGAAAGTACAAGTATTTATAAATAGCTGTCTACGCAAGATACTCAACATCCACTGGCCGGATACCATCAGCAATAGCCTTCTGTGGGAGAGAACAAACCAACTTCCAGCTGAAGAAGAAATTAGGAAAAGACGATGGAAATGGATAGGACATACATTACGCAAATCGTCAAACTGCATCACGAGGCAAGCCCTAACTTGGAACCCTGAAGGGAAGCGAAAAAGAGGAAGGCCAAAGAACACATTGCGTCGGATAATAGAAGCAGATATGAAAAGGATGAATTACAACTGGACGGAGCTGGAAAGGATTGCCCAGGACAGGGTTGGATGGAGAATGCTGGTGAGTGGCCTATGCTCCTTCACGAGGAGTAACAAGCGTAAGTAAGTTATGCGCTGTGTACGAAAGTCACTCTTGATAAAAACTTAATCAACAGAAGTATTAAGCTCGTTACAGATAAGGAAGACCACAAGTTGAATTGAATAGAGGTTTGTCTACACTTGAGGATAACATCTACCCAAACGTTTCTAAAAAAGATTATTAGAAATGAAAGAATAGCTAAACTAGAATGCATTTTGAAAGTTCACCATGGTCACCCCATACCGTAGTGACACATTGGAAGAAATCAGGAGGATTCTAAACAAGCATGATATAAGAGTGTATTTTCAGGTTAGTGACACCATAAGATGGGCATTAGTGAAAGTTTAGGATAGGTTCCCGAAGGAGGAACAACAGAACACTGTTTATGAGATTAACGGTCATGAATGTGATGCAGATTATGTGGGAGAAACTTCAAGGTAATTTAATGTAAGATCAAAGGGGCACAAAAAGTGTGTGAAAAATGTTCTCGAATCCTTGGTTGATATGAAGGAACTTGAGGATAGGTCAGTGATAGCCTTACATGCGTTGGAAACAGGACACTAGATCAACTTCAGAAAGGTTTTAACACTCATAAAGAAAGATTGACAGCAGAAGCGCTGTATATATGGGCAAATAAGAACAGCCTGAACGGAAAGGGTAATATTCAACCATCAACTACTTGGTAAATGTTCGTTAACAAGTAATTGGGTCCTTTCTTTATCCAACCTGTTTATTTCACATGCGTCGTTATTCTGACTGAAATTAATGTGGGTCAATTTAGCAATAGAACTATGCATTTAACAATTCGCATTTTACTTTCACATCGACGATTCAGAAACAATTTTTTGACCTTCAACTGGCACTTTAATTTTTCCTTCATATACAAACAAATTAACACTTAGTATCAACTATTAATAATTCAATTTTACGCATACATGCACACACAATTTGTTCGGTCATTTATTTTCACATGATTTGCCATTAACTGACTCATGTTATCCTACTTACTAAAGTCAAGATCCAAATATGACTGGATTAGCGCTATATATTTCTTTGATTATCACTCTGAAGAAATCCAGACACGTTTTTCGGACAAAACATTGGAATTATTTGAAATTTCAATTGCAGAGATTACTTGAGACAGTGGTAAACGACTTAGGGACATGTGAACTGGAGCGTCAGCCCGTTTTAACATATGGAAGACAGGAATGAAGGCTATCAACTCTACATCCTCGGCTGCCAACTGGATACCTGACATAGGGGTATCGGTAGAAGAGGCATGGACTTGTAGAATTATGGTCTAATTCGATACTAGTACTGTTCTAATAATAGATGCAATCCTAAAATTGAAGAGTAGTCATGATGGAACTGACTGATCTATAGGATCTCACGTGGATGTCAAATCATTATTAATACTGACTGATTCGTATTGTGACAATCATTAATATATGATGAAAAACCAAGTCAATTAACGTCACAAGGATAAAGAAACTCTCCGGCTCTGACATAAAAGGGTGGGGAGACAAGAATCACGATGCTGAATAAGGAAACACGTAAGATCGAATCCGACTGATCTATGAGTATCCCAACAACAGTGAACAGGTTCTCCTCGCTGATGTCATGTAACTTGCCTTCACCACCTGTAAGTTGCAAAACGGATAGTAGGCTTGAGAAATTTCACCAACCTGACAATGTCGAACCTTTATCTACTGGACTATATGCGTCTTATTCACAAATATCACTGTCATCACCCGATTCTCCATGTTACAACCCCTCTATCCCTGTGTGCAGTATGCCAACGTTAAGACTGGTTGACATACAAGACACTATACCCACGTGCATCGAAAAGTCAGAACAGTCTGCCAGACAGTATGTTCTACCAAGGCCTAAATCTAAAACTTCAAAAAACTAAACAGTCTGATAGTTCATCTTATACAAACCAAAATGCTGATAGATATAGTACTAAAATGCGTCAGCTACAAAATTCTCTAGCCGAAATTAACAGCAGACTTGAGCAACTAGCACCCCTCACACATATACGGGGCCTTGACACTGATAGAAATCTTGAGCAACTCACTAAAGCTGAGTGTGTAGTTTAGAGATTGTGGCCGAACAATTGACGAAAATAGTGATGTCCTCCTTCAATTCAATTGCGTGTAACCTTAGCCTTAGAGAATGCGGAATGCTGAACGTTAACTACAAAGTCACCGGCTTTGGAAAAAAGTCAGACAGATCAACATGTCCCTTCCTGTTTATGTTTGGCTGTTGTAACGACGCTAAACAATTTATTGATTCGAGCAAAAATATTAGCTCACTAATTCCATGAAAATATAAAAGTCACTCCAGACCTTACTCCCTGTCAACGTCGTGTGAGAAGACGTGAAGAGATAGGATTGCATAGTAGTGTTACAGTAAGTAAACAACTAGGGGAAGTTTGCGGTACAGTAAATAGTTTAAACATCACGAACAATGAGCATAATATCACCCTTTAGCCGGCAGACCACTCTGTAGATCTGGATGAGTCCGGAGATCGGAAAAACAACAAATTAAGGAGAAGAAAAAAACGAAACGACAACATAGAATTAATGAATTGAAGTATTTTTATTTTCACGTAAAAGAAAATAACTTTTTTTCATATTTATATATAAATCAAAATATTAATTATTGTTATTGTTTAACCATACATGATGGCAAATGTTAATGGACTCTATGACAATATTAAATAAGAATGAAATTAATGGAAAAGTAGAGATAAGACAATCTTTTCTTTATCTTTTTATTTCTTTATTCTTTTTTTGAAAGCATCATTGATTGCTTCATTCTATTCAACTGTTTTCCTCTTTTTTTCTCTTTCACTCTCTCTCTCTCTCTGGAATTATTTATTATTAACGTCAAATTTACTGTTTAGAGAATATTGATTCTGTGTTTGGTTTGGGCACTGTATATGGATAATTGTGGTGTAAAAATATTAGTTATAAATGTAAATTAATTTCTGATAGATTATTCATTATTGTTCAGTAATCTTTCAAATGAAAATAAATAAAATGAAACATTATTTAATGAATATGAAGTGATTTATATTAGTTAGTAGATCATAAACAACATAGAATCTGATAAATATTCGGATCGGTTCAACTTGTTCATACTACATCAATACAGTATAATGAAATTATCAAGACAAACGCATCAGGATAGTAGAACTGCTAACAGAATTAGTGACAGTAAAGGATGAAAACATAAGGCATAGAGAATATGGATCTTCAAGCAAAAACTAATTTGATGAATATCAAGTATAAGATAATTTTGAAACTCAAAATGTAAGGAAAGATAAAGAGTGAATATATCGGAACCGTTCAGATTAGTTTTGAGCTATGCCACCACAATCAAACATCTCCAACTAGTGGTTATGATAATCGAAAGGACCTCAATAAAGCATAGTCTGTACCTATCGACAAGGGTTAGTTCAACAATCATTGAGTTCCTGGATTGATCTTATGTTTTGTTTTTCTCTCCTCTAGTTTTTTTCCCAGCTTACTCACACACCAGCCAACACTAGTCTACTGACTTCAATAAATCACATGCACTAATTTTCTGACACTAGAACGCACAGTACATTTTGCTTTAAAAATTAGCACAAATATAGAAAAAAGTCGATTCAAGAGTTGCTAACACTGTAATAAACAGTATAAGTAAGTGTGAAAATTAACAATAACTAGTTTGAAAATGATGAAGAAAGTAATAATCATTTAGACTGTAGAATATTTAAGATAGAATAGGCCAGACTTAAACTTAATTGCTTGATAATTAATGCAAAACAGTTAAAAGCAAATAGTCTTACATAAAATACATACTTAACAAACTAAACTACTTAATATGTATAAATGATACATGAATATAAGTCAATCACATGGAAATGTGCATAGAATATTATTTCATGATGATGGCCATTATTTCCAAATTGATTAAAGTTCTGAATCATTGTGCAGTTCATAAACGATTAAAAAAATTAACGGATGATCTTAAAATTTATCGCTTAATGAAAAAGTTTAACTATGTGATTCTTACGCTACTGCTAAGGCGGTTGCACGAATAGTCAGATTTTTTAGAAAGGCTAAGATCTGTTGTGGAACGATAATTTCTGCCCACTCGATTTTCCGTATGACCTTTGCCCTCTAACTGGTTGCCATGTTTTTTTAGTTCGATAAGCTGCTACATACTCGAAGGTCATATTCTGCTAATATAGTAACAACTTTTGTACCAATTTTGTTTGAGTTGCTTGTTCTACCACAAATGTCAAGTTACCTGCATATCGTCTTTTTCCTGTCTTAGCCGTCGAGGTTTGATGTGTTGAGTATAATTGACTGTTGTCAGTTCCAAAGAGAACCAATCGTATTAGAGGAACTCAATCGTTTTTGTTCCTAAATCCATAACATCATAGGCCGAACTGAACCTCAATAACAAGACACAACAGCTACATAGATACATTAAAAACTTCGGAAACACCGGTACAAAAAGCTATCCATATTTTTTCCCTCATCACGGTTCTACGCCACTTCATAGTTGTATACAGTGTAGTATACAACGATCAGGTTTAACTATCCCAATGATTGAATAACTTCAAAACAATAGAGACGACGAAGACAAATTCTTAAGTAGCATTAAACATTAAACTCATGATTTTCTCGTAAAAGAAAGAAACAAAACATAATAAACAAGAATAAAAAATCACTTACCACTGGTGTAATAAACTTACTAATCGGAACAATATATTGAATTGTATTCTCAGGTGTAATATCCGGATTGGATAAAGTTGTTTTTGATTCATTAAGAATTAGGTCTTGAGAAGACGAGGAGGAGGAAGAATACAATTCTGGAGGGTTGTTAATACTCATCAACATTCGAGACCGACCTAATTAGATGGTTAAAAGAAAACAACAAAAATACATGTATATTATCAGTTATTATTCTCGGAGAAAAAAAACAACTGAAAAATACTTATTGAAGGTGTCAATAAATCTTAGATAACTTAATCTGCTGTTGAGATTATTTGAGAACGTGAAGCTAAACTTATCCAAAGTTCATGTATGTGTGTATTTAGCTGTTTATAAACTGATTAACGGATAGATCTGAATGTGATATCATCATTCACATACATTGAAACAAATTATGAAAGTAAATGGATGTAATTTTCTCAGTAAGCTAAGGTGAATTAGTCGTGTATTCCCACATTCCATAGTTTTTTTTGCTGTTTTTTACGATACAATGGAATATATAAAAATGTAATGAATACACTTATCCTTTTTGGCTTAAAAAAGAATCTTGAGCGAATAATTCCTTCCGTTTATTATCAACAGCATTCCAAACAAAAAGGAAGTTTACATAGATGATATACCTGCCACCTTAATAAGAAAAGTAGGTACAAATTAGTATAATTTACATTCAATCACTCTGATATCAAGGCTGAGTGATATTGTCGGGTTGTGCAAACCGAAGTAGGTGGAGTGGTATTCGGAATCACAACTTAATGACTGAAAGTTGAATGCCTTAAACACTGAGCCACCTCTTCACTCACAGAATTGTAGTGGCATGTCAAGATCTGCAAAGTTAACCAATTAATAAGTGAGACAGTAAAGAGTACTAATGATACTAAATGAAAGCCGTATCATATATCACCGAATTAATAAGAATTAAAAATGTAGAATCTAACGGGTTTCGATACTAAGAAGTATTGTCGCTGTTATAAGTACTGAAAGTTATGACTTTGATTGTATCATACAAAGCCGTTGACTTCGGTATGAATTGTTGAAAAGTACCGAGCATATGATACAATAGCATATGTTCAATACTTTCTAGTTTTGCTTTAGCTATTGTCAGTTTTACATTGAAGCCGACCTAAAAACCACCCAATTAAACTTTACTACGTTAAAGGTTTACGAGCTTTCAAATATATATACATATATAATAAGCGCTTTTAGTTGGGGAAGCGAGGGAATTTACTAAATCAAGTTATATCATATAACTTTTTCGTAATTTGTTTGTATTATATTGAGGGGTTTCTCACAACCATATGTTCTCACACTATGCGTACTTCACCCAAGCGGCCAACTTCTAAAATATTTTTCTTCGCTAGTTTTGTTAATTCTTTAATATACTACTGGTTTTGACCTCATTATTAAGGCTGTTGTAAATATATTTATACACATAATTGGTTTGCGAATAAGTGATACTAACCGACAATTTAAATCCGAATTGAATGAAGCAACTTAAGTTCAAGCTGGTGACTCAATAGCTAATCATCATTGATCACTTCACATTTATCTCAAAACAGATGAGACAATAGGTAATGAAGATACATTACGAATAGACAAGACAAAAAACACAAATATGCACACATAATAAAATTGAATGCTAACCTGGAAATGAACTGAAAAAATTTCTTGTAGACATCGATGATGCAGTATCTAACGTTTTTATGACCGACGGTATTGGAACTACAGCAGTCCACATCAATATCATAAACGTCATTAACAAGAGACTAGTCCCACCGGCTGCCGCTTTAGCGGCTTGTTTAGCAGTCACCTTATTATTATTATGATTAAATCCAGTATTGTTGGAGTTCACGAATAGTGGTAAATAGGACTTTTCACTTCGTTTATTCATGAATTTATTGATATAAGACCGTAATTTGCGTAGATGTATTGTAAGACTCCTGATATAAAGTAGAGAAAAGCAAAAATTACATTAAATAACCAGTTGTAAAATAAAATGCTTAAGTGTTGCAATGTCACACTTATATAATTAACAATTCCATTGAGCCGATTACCGTAACCGTTAGGGTCGACAGCTTCAAATATAAGTAACTTATACATTACAAAATTTATTAATCAGAACATCTTAAAGTTAAATGGATGGTGGTGTGATTCGCTTATTATGACTACTATTCATGAGTAACTAGTCTGATTTCTTCGGTTAATTATAAACTGATTGTTCTCTTATTGGTTGATAAACTTTACCCGTTCGGATGTACTGAATTGTCAGAGCCAAGAGTAGACTGTTTCTGCTGAGTTTATCACTTTGAATGTGTTCTTTGTAACCTAAACTAACCATTATTTATTGTAGAACTATTTACTATTTATATATGTTCATATATAAATATTTTGATGGGTGAAGAGAGTCTTTTGACTTTCATCGACCTTGGATACGTTCTTCCGATGAACAATATTTGGTCTAGAGTACACTAAGTATTCAAAAAGTGATTACATACTTAGATTCCAAGCTATGGGATATGCTATTAATGAATCAAAATATGTAGGTATGCATCAAACACTACACGAATATGAGCAATTTACTCATATCTGATTAACTGCAATTTGTGGACAGTACTAAGAGAAATATTAAGAATGAAGGGTCGCAAAACAATGCTTAGAACTAAGGCTGTAGAATTGTATCATAAACCAATTATATGTTTGAGAAATATGTATATAAAGATACATAAACTGATTCACATGAAAAAAGAACTGCTTGACTTGTATAGTTTCTATTCCCTTGCCTCCTTCTCTGATAGTCAGTACAGTCAATCACTAAATTACAAATTTATTACGTCTACAACAATTTAAGTAGTAGAAAAGAACCATTTTATCCATTAGCAACATTCAAATATAAAACTAAGTATACGGAAAGAATGGTCTTAAATTCGAATGACAACAGAGGTTATTCAATAATTTCAGGTTTTTCATGTGTTTTCATTATTTGATATCAGTTCATGATAATAAATTACCTTTAAAAGTAAATAAATCTCATAATTGAATTGATCAGAATTATTGCACTTAATAAAAACATTTGCTTACAAGCCTCAACTAGCATGAAACCTAGATGAAGTAAGAGATCCTGTCGACTACTTTCAATCACCAATCATCACAATTTTATGCATAGGTATGTAGAAGTGAGTGGTGATTAATATCGTGCTTGTCTAGTCCTTTAGGGTTGGTCAGATTCTATCGATCAAGTTGCAATCTGCCCACTAGTCTAAGTGACTTAACAATATGTGCACTGCATTAATTTTATCGACTGTTTGTCAAATGGAAATATGAGAAAAAAGAACAGAAATTAAATAGTGTTTGACAAATTTGTTTGTTTTATAACTATGATTTGCTTTATGGATCGAAAACGTAAAAAGAAAGGTAAACAATCATTACATAAAACCGATTATATGCTGGTGAAGATGATAAAATTATGACTGGATGGAAATTTTCTGTTAGATAATTTCAGATAAATGTTGCACAGGAAAAATTGTCACGAATGAATATGAGATAAAAATTTAGGGAGAAATTGTTTGAGAGTTTATATATACATACATAATATTCACCATACGGCAGGTTCTGAAACATAGAGATATTTTTCGACGTCCGATTATAGCTGTAATCCTTGACCTTAAGGTGGTGTTTGACTCCGTTGATCCTCAGGTTTCGTGGCAGTGTTTTTCATTCAAAGGTGTACAAAACATGTACATCAAATTTGTACAGACTCTCTCTACTCGAACACTACTAGTAGATTCAGATTTTATGGTAAACTTTCATCGGAATCAGTTACTTCAAGTGGTGTTCGTCAGAGTTGTCCGCTTTCCCTATTTTTATTTAACTTCGTTAAAGATATGCTTTGAGGAATAACACTCTATAGGTGTCCACGAAGCATTGCTCGTGCGTTTTGGGGCCACACAGTAAGCAATGCCTGAGTTAGGAATAGAGCACTAAGTAAAGGTGGGAATTCGATTGATGAGGTAGTAAATCTTCATCAACTGAGGTGGTTGGGATATGTGTTACGTATGTCCAACCACTGCCTGTCTTGGCTGGCTATGTTTTCTGGTGTAGGAGCAGGTTGGAAGAAAGTTAGGGGCGGTCAAACCAAAACATGACATTAATTTCTGAAGTCATTGACAATTGGACTTAGCCATGTTCATAGCTGTAAACTACTTGATTGGGGTCCGCGTGAATATCGTAACCAATAGTTAGAGACTATGAATGATATGACTCAAAATAGTTTGCAATGGTGCAGGCGCATCCGTCCTTTGTCCCCCCAAAGTCTGAAATTCTAAATTCGACGGAGTCTATAACCCAACATAACTACTTTGTATTGCGCAGATTTATGGCACACACCAAATTGATCACCGCCTTATTTTTTCCACCTAGTCTTAGAGAAGAGATCAGGGTCACTGTTGTTACTTAGGTCCCCGGAGTGGATGCTTGACTATGAGCTTTTATTATGGTCAAGCAATATCTTTTCGGCATAGATTACTTGTGACTGGATTTAAGTGCTTAACGGATCAATCTACACTTACACGCGCACGGCCTTTTGTGGAAGGTTTTTAATGTGTTAGCTCCGTTCTTCAAAGGGCATTACCGCCGGAGACGGAAATCCGTGAGGTAAGGTGAGGTGTGACATTTTTAGGGTCAACCTTTTCTAACCCCACCCCTCCTTGTGGGAAGGCAGCATCGCTGCAGATGCTGGTTGTCCGAGGGAAACACCTTACTGCTGTCACACCCCTCTACAGTCAGCAGTACGACTTCGCCCTCAGACCTTGAGTTGCTGCTTTTAGTCTTACCGTTCTCCAATCGATCTGCCTGGAATGGTAGAACCTACAGGAACATATGTTCCAGCCAATATAGCTCGGTTGGGTCATCACGATAGGCAAGCCCGACCACCGCGTCAAGGTAGCAGCTTCGGTCGGGACGTATATGTATTATGTAAATATTTTGTAGCTTCTCGCAATAAACATACATTCCTTCTGCCTATAGTTATGTTTTATAATAACACAATAGATTTTAAATCAATTGAACGTTACACAAAATGACCCAACGTTATGGAGGTTTTTTGTGATTCGACTAGAAGAAACTTTCGCTTGTTAAAATCAATGTATAAAATGCTAATCGATAGATGAACACAATAATATAATGTGATGAATGATGACTACTGACGAGACCGCATTATTGACTTACGTCCCCGAATAATTATAAATCAAAGACAAGACTACTACTAGCCAGATAAACAGCTTTTTTCATTCAATAAAATAACACGCTTATATGAAAAAAATGAACACAAAATAAACATGATGAAATACCATGGGTGATCGGAGGAAATTAGCTTTTAGGTCATTCATTCTCTAATCAATTACGACTTGACTGGTAGGCCTGTTTTCTGGACATTGTATCTCCAGAAAGGTGTCAAAAAAATTAAATGCGCAAATAGTTTGAAGCATACATATTGATTACATCACCGACTGACCTTAGTTAGACAACCACTCAAAACCAGAGAGCACCGGACAACTGTTTCGTTCTAGTATGAAACTTTTCAATAATGCACAATTACGACCCACAAGTTTCACGGTGAGCGCTTGACTATTAGAGTTTAATGAGATGAAACTGCAAATTCAACCAGTTCACAATCGTCGTACTACATCACCTGCTCAGTGGTTCGCTGGTAAAACTGTAGGTCCTGAGTCAGATGTATAGTATGGTCGTGGATGCGCAATGCGGAGGAGGATTGTGCTACGACAGAACGGCTATTTACAGCTCTTTTTCGGTGGTTGTCTAATCAAGGTCAGAACATGATGTGAACCATAAAATTAAGTGATATCCGAAAACTCCCTATACTAACACATATTAATTGATTATTTAAAAGAATTACCGTTTATCTTCCTCCAATTCATATACTTGTCGACGTAATTGTTTGATTTCTTCAGTACACATAGAATACCGACGTTCCAAGTCAATTACATACCTTTGACGTTTGGCACGACTAGCTTGAGCAGAGAGTTTATTACGAATTTTTCGTCTGACAGTACGTATTGCTTTTTCATTAGTTTGACTTAATGGAAATTTGATAGGTAGTTGACAACCTATTTGTTGGAGCATTTTATATTCTTCTGAAGTTAATTTAACGCATTCTCCCTGTGAAATGAATAAGTAGGGATAAGAATTGTCATAAATAACTACGCAATAGGTCAAATGACAGACAAGTTGACAATAAAATGAGTTATTTAAGATAAGATTTGAAATCGTTCGTAGCAAGCGATAGAACAAACGAGTGACTAATATTAGAGAAATAAAACATCTAACAGGGTCGTGAATCTATGCCGACTGATAAGACTGATGAATAGGCTACGTATGCATTTCAACGGATTATTCTAATGTGCAGTGTTTGTTAAACTGATAGTATTAGTAGTGGAATTAAACCTACGAAGATAATCAACTTAAAAGAATCTAAATAGATTCGAAGTAATAACATAACTCAGATTAAGAGAAAATAAGAGTTGAAATGTCTACTTGGAAATGGAATTAGCGTTGCGACAAGTTCCATTAGCTTGGAACTACAAAAAGACAAAGTGATACAGGGCTTGGCCAAGTAACATTATTAAAAATTTAATCAAATCGTATTGCCTCACATATTAATAGAAAAAAAACCCAGTAAGATATGTGTTACGCTTTACGAACCACTATCTGCCTTACAATGGAATGATGGCTGGTTCACGAGCAGATTGTAATAAAACTGGCAGTAGTCAAACCAAGACTTTGTATTCGTCCATGAAATAATTAACTGTTGGTCTAACCTATGCTATCAGATGAACATTACCTGGTTGAAGTCCTTGTTATAACATTGACCAGAAGTTGGAGAAAAGTTACATGGCTCGTAATCAGTAACAATGACAAAGGTGCACTATTTGTTTTGTTAGAGACCTTTAGTCATAACATAATTTTATACTTTATATTCAACAAATTCATTCCTTATTTTTAATCACATTTTTAGTATTCAAGCTTTCATCCTGTTCTTGATAGTACTACGATTTTGACTAATTTGCTATTTATCTTCTTAATAAAAATCTGATTGCACTAATCCCAAGTACAACGACTTATACCGATGCATATTCGTACCTGTTTCTGAACTGTTTATGACTGACAAACTTATTGTATTTCTGCTCATATGAAAAAAAATTAAACACTGAATGAGAAATAAAACAAACAAACGAACAAACTCTAATACTCACAGGTTTACCATTTAGTAAATCTTCATTATTTAGACAAATTATTGTATTAGTTTTATAAGAATCATTCATATCATACTCATTATTAATTTCCGTTGAATTCAACAATTGATGACAATGATGATGGTTATTGACAGAACTTGAAGAACTATGAGTTGATGATGATGAATATAAAAGTTCTTGTTGTTGAATAGTTTTCTCTTGATATGAAAACTTTGGTATTGGATTAAAATGATTAATCAAAGATTTTCTTTGACAATTGGTAAACTTCACTTTCTCATTCTTAATTTGTTTAGATTTTGAAAATTACCAGGATTAATATCGTCCAGAGATACTAATTCATTGGAGTCGGGTAATAAATCTGTCCAATTAAAATCTGGAGTATCTAAATCTTTATTCAATAATTCTAACGGAAGTGTATTGGTATCTAATTCAAATGAGAATAGATAATCAGCTTCTTTATTTAATCCTAAATCTAAGGGAAAAAATTATAATAGTCACTCGATATGATGAGTAAGGAATTGTTTTGAGTGAGATTAATGATTATTCAGTAAATTAATGATTAAATTAAAAAATATACCAAGGTAAAAAGAAGAGAAAACAAACACGTGTTAAAAAATAAATAATATAATATGGATGCGTATCAAAGACAATGAACCAAGTTTGTTTTCTCTTCCTTATCTTCCTAAATTCTTCGCGTTGACAATTATGCTTTAAATTTCTATTTGATATTGATTAATTAATGAAAAGCCCTACTCGGTCTAATGTATTTAAATATGACTAGTGATCAGTGTAAGTCATATAAAAATCAGTGTATTCAGATGACATTCCGATTTATTTTGGTTGTCAAACACATCTCTATCTATGGCCTTAGTGTTCATACTTGCGTCATCCGATTCAAACTTTTCAGTAGCATCTAGCTATATATATATATATATATATATATATATATATATATATATATATATATATATTATTATTACAGGTACATCTTGCTGATGAGTGCCAAATAGCACGAAACCTAGATCCAGGGTTTTCTGTCGACCACCTCCAAACATCATCGCATCTCAACATAATCCACGAAATGTCAAGTAGTAGACGCATTGCAACTTGGTCGATAGAACTCTTTAGTAAAAGGCAAAAGATTTATCCGCCCCCAAATGCCCTGGTATGGCCGAGAGTGGGGTGGGCCCGCCTTCCCTCTCGAAATGCTCTCACATGGCCACGCGTATACAGCCTCTGTCAGGGAAGTCCTACTCATTGCCTTCTCGTGGCGGGGGTGTTGTTTACGAAAATGAGAGGACGAAAAGCGAATGTCCGGCGCTTTAACCGGATCTTAAACCAATGGTGCACATGGGCTCCAGTATCCTGCGGGAACAAATGGCGTATGAACCAATCGTTGGTCACCGGCTACCATGGGATTGCATCTCCTTACGATGCTCCACTGCCTTGTGGGTCAGACCTTCAAGTCAAAGGCTCGGGGTGTGGCCCCCTGAGAAAAACACCTGCTTCAATCTGGGCACCTGGGCAGTATCACAGCCCACACACAGATATGATGAAATGTCGATATCTATGGAAAATACTTGTCTTGCTTCGATCAACAATCAAACGATTCACATTATTATTATTATCGCTATTATTATTAATATACTTATTATTATTATTATTATTATTATTTACTACGTCATTTATTCACTCTCTTTTATTCCCATTCTGTCTATCTTTACTTTTCGACTTATACAGTAGCTCGCCTATGGTGGAAACTCGGTTCTATCTAAACGTTCTCGAGTCACTGTCCGGTTGAAAATTGTATGTTACCACCGAATATGAGTACTGAAGCAGTTTTCCTGAAACCACGTGCACCATTCGAACTGGCTGCCTTCAACGTTCGCACACTTATGCAGGTCGGACAACAGATAGGGCTGGCTATGTCTTTGGAAAGTCTTAATATCGACGTTTGCTGTCTATCCGAGACCCGTATTCAAAACTCTGGTGAAGTACTACAAATTCGATCTCCATCTGTCGCTTCGAAAAGCTTGTTTTACGTGCGTTTATCCGGGGACCCTGTTGCATCTTCGTCTGGTCTTGCTGGCGTTGGTGTCGCACTAAGCGCTAGAGCTGAGGCAGCACTAATCAATTGGATCCCCTTTAACAGTCGGTTATAAGCTGTTAGATTAGGAAGTTCCATCAAAGCGAGAAGAAATCGGTGTGAGAAACGATGTCTTTTCGTCATCTCCGCCTATGCCCCGACAGATTGCAGCCCAGCTGCAATCAAGGATGAATTTTACCACCAGTTAACTGTTCTTCTCCAGAAAGTGTGTTCGACAGATATTATAGTACTAGCCGAAAACTTGAATGCTCGGGTCGAGCGTCTAGACACAGAAGAGTCGTTTAGGTGGCCGATGGGGACTCGTTAGTCGCAGGTCAGATAACGGGGACCGTCTACTGCAACTGTGCACAGATCACAACCTGTGTTTGGCTAGCACTAACTTTCGGCACAGTCATCGCCGATGCGCCACCTGGCGTCCTCCCTCTGCATCCCAAGCCTGGACTCAGATTGATCACATCGCGATCAGCTACCACTGGCGTGGTTGTGTACAAGACTACCGTTCCTTCTGGAGTACCTATCTGGACTCTGACCATGCCTTGGTCTGTGCCAATCTTACCTTACTTTTCAGTGGCCAACGAAGTGACCGCCATCAACGGATTGATATTAGCAAGCTGGTTGCAACTTCTGTTGCAAGTAAGTATCAAATCGAGCTAGCTTCTAGGTTAGCTACCATTCCACCGAAAAGCATGGGTCAGCAGTGATTGCAATTGCAGTTGTGGGTTCGCGAAACGTCCCGATTATAAGTACTGGGTTTCGTCAGGCTCCTTACAACTCATTGAAGCCCGTCGGTCTACTCCGGGTGACCGTGAGTTTGACCACAAACGAAGGATGTTATGTAATCAAATCGGGCAAAGCTTGCGTAAGGACCGAGAAGCCTGGTGGTCGGAGCGTGCTAATGAGCTGGAAGCAGCAGCTGCATCTGGTAACTACCGGAAGCTCTTCCAATTCATCCGAGCCACTGGCAGCAAGAAGTCTGGTGTGAGTGAAACAATCTGCGAGGATGATGGGATGCCAATCACTAACATCCATCGACGTCTTGGACGATGGGCAGAATTTTTCGAAGGGCAGTTCAACTGGCCTGCTGCTCCGGCAACATCGGTCAGACTGTCCTGCCCTCCATGGCCGGTGACGACTGATCCACCAAACGAGGAGGAAGTCCGCAAGGAACTCCAACTCTTGAAGCGTTACAAATCACCTGGCCCAGATGACTTACCTCCGGCTCTTTTTAAAGATGGTGGTGACTTTTTGACTAAGGAATTGACGACGTTGTTTACAAAGGTTTGGGAACTAGAGAGTGTACCAACGTCATGGAATGAGTCGATAGTTGTCCCTATCTTTAAAAAGGGTTCACGTCGTTCCTGTAACAACTATCGGGGGATAAGTCTACTTCCGATTGCGTCCAAGCTATTGGCTTCCGTCATACTTCGTAGGTTGTTCAAAACCCGAGAAAGATTGACTCGCGAGGAGCAGGCTGGGTTTCGTTCTGGTCGAGGATGTATTGATCATATCTTCACCCTCCGCCAAATGTTAGAACACCGCCATACTTATCAAAGGCCAACAATCGTAGTGTTTCTTGACATCAGGGCTGCCTTCGATTCGTTGGACAGGACTGTTCTCTGGGATTGTCTATTGAAGAAGGGTGTGCCTGAGAAGTTTATTAACATCCTAAAGGCCCTATATACAAACACCTCAGGCAGAGTGAGGGCATACAACCACCTCTCTCCATTGTTCCATTCGAGCAGTGGGGTTAGGCAGGGTTGCCCAATCTCACCATTCCTCTTCAACTTTGCCATCGATGACATTCTGGAAACAGCTCTGATGAATGTAAGTAATGGTGGTGTGGATCTGTTGCCTGGAGAAAGACTTCTCGACCTTGAGTATGCGGACGATATTGTCTTACTGTGCGATAATGCCCAAGGCATGCAATCCGCACTTAATCAGTTGGCAATCAGTGTCCGTAGGTATGGTATGTGCTTTGCACCTTCGAAGTGCAAAGTACTTCTACAAGACTGGCAGGATTCTAATCCTGTACTCACCCTGGATGGTGAGCAGATAGACGTAGTCGAGAAGTTCGTGTATCTGGGTAGCTGCATAAGTGCTGGTGGTGGTGTGAGTGATGAGATCAATGCACGTATAGTGAAAGCCAGAGCGGCTTATGCCAATCTGGGCCACCTTTGGCGCCTTCGTGATGTTAGTCTGGCTGTAAAAGGTCGGATCTACAACGCGTCGGTGAGAGCAGTTTTGCTCTATGCTTGTGAAACCTGGCCTCTCCGAGTTGAGGACGTTAGACGACTCTCTGTGTTCGATCATCGCTGTCTCCGAAGGATTGCTGACATCCAGTGGCAACACCATGTCAGTAATGCAGAGGTTCGGCATCGTGTGTTCGGGCACAGAGATGATAATTCAATTGGTGTCACCATCTTGAAACACCGACTTCGGTGGCTTGGACATGTTCTACGAATGTCGTCCCAGAGAATTCCACGTCGTGCATTATTTGCCGACTCTGGGACTGGTTGAAAGAAGCGGAGAGGTGGTCAGTGTATGAAAGAAAGCTGCAAAGGACTGGCTTGTGTTGGTCCTTCACGACTCCCTGGTTGGGGTCCTAGAGATGGTGCGACACAGTGGCTAGAGACGTTACCAGATATGGTGCAGAATAGAAGCCAGTGGCGATCCTGCTGTACCCTTCTTCTACTTTCTTCATAAAAAGTGGTTGTATCTTCCTTAACTGAAAGATTCCTTTTGGTTGTACCTTTCCGTTTCCCCATTATTATTGTTATTGTTATTATTACACTACCTTACACTAATCTGTTCGTTATTGTTTTTTTCCTCTTCGAATTCTCATTGTTTTGTGTGGCGCATATATATTTGGTGCCCTCTCGTTCCAATATTTATGTGTTCAAATAAATAAATAAATAATAAATACGATAGAACTCGATCTGAACTACGAAGGACCTTACACACATGACATTGATCACTATCAAGTGATCAAACAATTGTAAAGACATGAAATACTGAATGACATTGGAAGAAGGCTACGACAGTTTTCATAGCCGCTAAGATTTGGAAACCCAATTTTAATAATCTTTTCAAGTCGTTGGATTATAAGTAGCTAGAGGCCAAATGGGCTATCCGTCAATCTTTTGTCATTTTAATCGTCCAGATTAAAAACGGATTACTGTTGTCGTTTTCCATCATAGTTTTACTAACGGATATTTTAACCCTAGTCTATCTGATGGATTTAAACAATGCCGGATTTTTCGTCCCCTTTGATTTTGTTACTTAAGATCGCTGTATATATACCACTACACTTAAGTTACTTTCGATGTCCATCATATTCGAAGCTCAGTAGAGTGAGTTTTTGAGTATTTATATTAATTAAGTACAATTTTCTTGCCTTTCGGTCTAGGTCGATTACAGAAACCATTGATGTTTCTTGCTTATATATTATGTCATGGTATCTTACTGTGAAAATTACTTTCATGTTCACTAGGTACTTTGTTAGTTTTGCTTTAAATTTACTCCCTTGGATTTCAAGTTCAAACTCAGTTGAATAAGCCTGTATACTGCGACTTTTATGAATCCAGTAAGGTCTAGACATGTATTTTTATCGTTGCAGGTCCAGAATCCAAAGCTAAACTCCAGAAAATTAATTCATTACTGATGTTCTCCAAAATAACTGATAAAAACAAGATTCATCTGAGTTCATTGTTGAGTCAAAGTTAAGGACTATTAAGTCAGTATTTTAACTATGCTTGGAGTTAGTACCTGCCGTAAATAGAAGGTTATCACCGTACATTTGAATCACATGGTAACATTTATCTGTTGAACAGTTTTGAACGTAAAACAATATTTAATTTATGTATTGTTCTGTCTGGATTAACCTATCCACCAACGCGTTAATACCAAACAACAAAGAAATCCCAATATAAACAGTTTGAATATAGTTCAATACGTACCGAGATTTGAATTAGTAGTAGCTGTCTCATTTACTGAATCACCATTCAATAGACGATTGCCAGATGAATGGTCTGTTTCAACGATCTCTTGGTGATCTAACTGCAATATTGTTGGTGATACAGCATAATAATCAATCTCATCCCCATATGAAAAATCTGGCAAGTTAAATTTCTTTATTGACATTGTTTCAGGAATTTTGAGCATGTTACGTCAATCAGCACTAAAGAATGTAATAAGATCATCCGTTTTGCTCAACCACATACCATTAATTTTGGGATAGAGAGTTAATCAAGTACCTATAGGACATTTTGTTGTTATGGACAGTAACTTTGTTTGTTTGAGTCCATGTTTTCCTTTTCTATTTGAACAAGAACAGAGGTCAAGTTTACTCTTTAGAAGGTAACAGATTGAAAGTCAGAAGAAAATGACAAGCTGAAATAATAATAATAAAGACAGATGGTGAATTCTCCCAGAGAACTCAGTTACCTAAAATATACATTTACCGTCTACAAAGTAGTGAAAATAATCTACATACATATATCTTATCGATTTTAATGGAGGTGACTGTAATAAGAAGGATCTATTGTATTCAAAGAACAATCATACTATTCATGTAAATGAAAATGTCGTGAAGTAAATAAATAGCTTGAGAGATGGGAGTTTTATCTATCTAAATGGATTAGCAGAATGAAAAATGAGGCTTTAAAAGTTATAATTCAGTGAGTTAACAATCGAAGGAATAAACTATGTTCGTAACTAGTTTGTAGATGAATACAAACGATCTGTTAGTAAATGCATGGCCAGGTGGAAATTCCCACAGAGAATGTTACAGAAATCTTAGGAATAACATGCTCAGACTTATTCGGTGGAACATATGATTTGTTTACACAGAAAAAAGTATATTGGGATATCTTACTGTTTGAGGGATAGTGCATCACTACGAACGTATAAAATTCATTCTGTTCACATAAAGGTTAAATCAACCTGTTAGTTAACTATTTAGATCACTCTAACACTGCATTTAGTACTAACATAACGTTTTATTTAGTACTAAGGTAATGCCCCTCAGTAAATACTTCAATTAGCTAGTAACATTAACTTATCAAACGATCTCTACGATAGTGACAGAGCATTCAGTCAGTCAGTAACAACGTAGAACTTAGTACGTACGTACATCAGTTCGAGTTGCCACACCACATTAGCACACAGATGCAGTGGTCGGTTCAAATCCCGTAGTGCTAGATTTAGTAAAATTATGAGCTGTAATCAGAAAAAACTAGGGCTTGAAGATGTTATTCAAGGAGTATAATCCAGTGAAATAAATTTGGAAAGAGAAAAAAGAAAGGGACATGAAGAATTCAGAAGATTAGAATTTGGGAAAACACAAAGAGTGGATGCACCTGCGCCATTGCAAACGATTTTGAGCCATGTCATTCAGGGTCTCCAACCATCGGTTGCTATCATCTCGTGGTCCCCAACCAGGTAGTCTACACCTGCCAACATGACTCAGTTTACTTGTCAGTGACCTCATGGACTTGTGCCACGTTTTCGTCTGGCCGCCCCTAGCTTTCTTCCAATCTACTCCTATACAACAAAACATCGCACATCGAGGAAGTCGGTGGTTGGGGATACGTAACACATGTCCCAGCCATCTCAACTGATGAAGTTTCACTACTTCATCAATTGATTTGCCATCCTTACCTAGTACCCGTTTCCCAACAACTGCATTACTTACTCGATGGTCCCATGATATACGAGCAATGTTTCGAAGACACCTATGATCGAATACTAGTAACCTACGAATATCCTCTACTCTTACCGGCCATGTTTCACTGCCACAAAGTAGGACGGAACGAACTGCTGCGCAGTAAACACGTCCTTTGGTTGATAGACGGATATCTCGCCTACGCCATAAATGACGCAAGTTGGCAAAAGCTAGTCGAGCCTTCTGTATCCGTGCTGAGATTTCATCACACACCAGACCACAAGGGCTGATGAGACTTCCAAGATAAGTGAAGCGGTCGACACACTCAACTACTTCACTCCCTATCACTAGTTCGGGTGTCGATGTAACCCAATCCTGAAGCAACATTTTGCATTTCGAGGGAGAGAATCGCATGCCGAACATGCCTGTATTGTTGCTTAGAGTGGTCAGAAGACTCTGCATTTTGTCAGCGTCTTCACCAAATAAAACTATGTCATCAGCATATTCTAAGTCAACAAGTGAACCTCCCGGTAGAAGTTCAACCCCTGTAAATTTAGATGAGGAGAGTGTTATCTCTAAAAGTACGTCGACCACAAAGTTGAACAAGAATGGGGAGAGTGGACAGCCCTGACGAACACCACTTGAGGTAATCAATTCTGATGACAGTTCGCCATAAGCTCTCACTCGACCAGTTGTGTTCGAGTAGAGAGCCTTTATAAGGTTAATGTACTTCTTTGGTACTCCTTTCAGTGACAAACACTGCCATAGAACCTCACGATCAACAGAGTCGAATGCCGCCTCAAGGTCGAGAAATACTACCATTGTGGGGCGTCTGAATGTGTGTCTGTGTTCTAGAACCTGACGTAGTGTGAATATCTGATCTATACAACCACGTCCAGGTCGAAAACCGGCCTGGTTTTCTCTAATCTGCTCTTCACGAGCTTTGATTAGGCGTCGAAGTATTATTGAAGCTAATATTTCAGACACTATATTAGTCAAACTGATTCCTCTGTGATTGTCACAAGAGGACTTTTGTCCTTTCTTATAGACTGGCACAATCAGTGATTGAGACCAGTCAGATGGAATTACGTCCAGTTCCCAAATTCTACCTAAGACCTCAGTTAATCTCACTGCTTAGAGTGGTAAACAGACGTGAGAAAGGTTAGTTGTGGAGATAAGAGTGGTATTAGGAGGTGTAGGAAGGATTTGAATGTGACCAACTTGGTCTCGTGTGTTGTTACGGGTATGAGGGCTGATGTCACTTCCCGGCTGCCCACACCGTGGAAGGGTATTTCTTGAGGAACCTCAAAAAGAAGTCGGACTAATGTTGGTCTTAACGACCTGGGAGCGTGACTGCAGAGCACAAGGGACAACTGCTTGAGGCCGGTCGCGCACGGCCCTTTTGTGGAAGGTTTTTGACGTGTTAGCTCCGTTCTTTAAAGGGCCTTACCGCTAGAGACGGAAATCCGTGAGGTAAGGTGAGGTGTGACATTTTTAGGGTCGAACTTTTCTAACCCCATCCTTCCTTGTGGGAAGGCAGCATCGCTGCAGATGCTGGTTGTCCGAGGGAAACACCTTACTGCTGTCACACCCCTCTACAGTCAGCAGTACGACTTCGCCTTCAGACCTTGAGTTGCTGCTTTTAGTCTTACCGTTCTCCAATCGACCTGCCTGGCATGGTAGAACCTACAGGAACATATGTTCCAGCCAATATAGCTCGGCTGGGTCATCACGATAGGCAAGCCCGACCACCGCGTCAAGGTAGCAGCTTGGTAATACATGTATTTAACCATGTACCACTCTTCTAACGTAATCGATTGCGGTCGTCGTGTGGTTTGTTATGGAATTTGGAACAAATATATGAGATATTTGGCGTCAGACCATGAGGTGGACAAACAAATGTGTAGTAAAATGTTACGCGAGTAATTGAGCGAAAAATTTCAAACAGCGACGAAACGAAATTTCGCATCAAGGACAGGAGAAGACATCCTACGGAACTTTGTCAGCTGAGCAATTATCACTAAACAGAAAATTACTATGACAATGAAAACTAAACCGCAAAGTACGACCGAATAAATTAACAATTAGTGGAGACAATCCTCTTACATCTACTGTGGTCTTCAGGGGTTCAATCTTCCTATTTTTGAGAAACTTTTGGGAAGCCGCCATAGAAAAATTTAGAGCATAAAATGGCACAAAAACCTCAAAATTTCTCCAGATCAGGGAGAATTCGCCAAACGTTTGTGGACTTCCTCAAGATAGGACTGCTAAAAGCAAAATATATAGTGTCGCTTGACAGTCAAAAAAATAGATAAAAAGTCATGAAGCATCCTTTGAGGATGTTAGCTAATGAGTCAACCTTATCAGAAAGTCAAATTACTCAACAAAATCACCAGTGACAGAGCATTATTACGTATGAAATTATTGGCCACCAATGACTTCGTTACAGCTAAATACGTAACCACTGCAAAATCTCACAGACATAATCGTTTCAATTTAGGGAACATTCTAGGAGTTTGTAGTTGTTTATGCTATTATCAAGAAAACAAGTGCCCATGGTTGCGAGGTAGTGACTTTTAGTGATCAGCTTTGACTTTGCAAAGATGGTTTGAGTGTGGTATCACAAATTACATGAAGAGTAATACGTGATTGTGCCAATTTATGGCCACAAAAAATACTTTCTTTATGAGCGAATCTAGAGAATATACGAGCTGTTCGTTATTTATAGAGCTATTTATTTTGGGGATTTATTTACCGCTACAAGTTACCTGTTGTCCAGACACACAATAACTTGGGAGTTATCGTTAGTCAAAACTACTGCACTTCGCAATGTGATATACGTCAAAGGTTTTAGAAATCTATGGTCAATACGTAAGGCGTTTAATCATGCCGACTTTTAAACTTTGTATACAGTGTTCGTGTGACCCAAGACGTGAGTACTGCATACAAGCGACTATCCCCTACTTAGAAAAGACACTGAGCTTTTTTAAAAAGTTTAGAGGACAACAACTGAGCTGGTTTCTGGAATAGCGAAGCTCATGTATGATGCTCGACTGGCTGAAACAAACCTATTCCCATTGTCATATCGAAGAATTAAATGATATGATTACAGTTTTAAAATTACTTGGTGATAAATTTACACATGATGTATCCTCATTTTTCTTGTCTTTCAAAAAAGTTCACAAGCCCAGAACAAATTACTTTCCAGCTGACTATCGACTTTCTCATCAAATCACCAAGTGGAATTTATGGCGAGACTAATTTAGGGACGACCTTTGAACGAATCTACAGTGACCTTGACAATAATTAGCCAATCAGAAGAAAGTTAGTATAAAGTGAAAATATATTATATGAAAGTAATGAATTATAGTGGATATTCTCCTTTTACATGATTTAAAAACTTGTTAAGGTTTGATTAAGGTTCAGAGGTTCTGAATTAACAATGCATATGGAATAGAAACCCGTCCATTGGGTTAGGGTCAGGTTTACGGGTAAGGTT